AGTACAGTAGAAGCCATTTTACAGCAGTACAGTAGAAGCCATTTTAAGGTACAACAGGCTGTATCTTAACAGAACACACACTCTGAGGGCTTTAGGGGTGTCTTACCCCCACAGTGTTTGTTTCCAGAGAGTAAGTCATCTGTGTACTAAGTTTGGTTGAAATTCCTTGAGGTGCTCCAGAGTTATGCTGGAACATACATACCTACATCCTTTTATATATATAGAATATGATATGATATATGCATACATATGAAGATAGATTAAAACTAACATGGTCAAGGATACTAAGAATTGTAGGATCAGCATAACGGGAATGCTAGGCGAATTGGAAAAAGCTGGTTTAAACATTCATCCGGGTTAAAAAAAATATCTCCATGCAATTCAATTGTAACTTCTATTTTTCTTTTTCTTTTTTTTTGTTCAAAAGTTTTATTTCTTTTAAAACAAACATTTCATCATTCCTCAATCAGTAAGATATCGGAGTACAATTTTTTGTGTGTCAAAATAGTTCTAGTTTACCACCAGTTTACAGTTTCTTACTGTAACTCACCAAGTTGCCTAGAAACAGCCTTTTCTCTAGAAGATCACATTTAAAAGAACTGTAACTATCAAACTGTCAGAACTACTCTGAGTCATTAAAATAATCCAGGCAACCACAGCCACTCAATTTTGATATGACTCTTCAAAATGATTCAGACATATGACATGTTTTTCCTTTCCGAAATCCCTTGTTCCTCCCTGTTACACGAATGCTAATCGATCTGTTTTTAGTTCCACAGTCTGTCACTTCCTTACATCAAACAGAGATCAACCGGAAGAGACATTCTGTCACCTGAACTCCATCTGGGTTTTCCCAGAGAAGGGAAAACGAATCTCCCAGCTGGATAAAGTTGATTTAATTTTGGTGTTGCAGCAGGATAGAATTTACCAAAACATTCTATAGCAGTGATGGTGAACCTTTTAGACATTGAGTGCATGTGCGTGCGTGCACATGCCAAAACCAAAAGGTGCATCTGGACAGATGTGCATGCACAGACATGCCACAGGCGCAGCATGGCTCCAAAGACCAGCTGGCCGACGGGAGGCAGGGCATCCTAACACTGGCAGCGCAGCAAGTGGTAGTATCATTTTATTTCGTGAGCTTCTGTTTCGTCGTTTGCAGGGAAACAGAAGCTCACAAAAGAAACACCACAGAGATCTGACCTGGGGCGACGTGGCGCGTGCCAGCAGAGAGGGAACTGTGTGCCCTCTGGCACATGTGCCATGGGTTTGCCACCACAGTTCTATAGGTTACCTGACAGCAGGAGTGAAATCAACTTACCTGCGCTACCGGTTCGCAAATGTGAGTGCACAGGCCACCTCCGCACATGTGCAGAATCTTCGGCACATGTGCAGAGCATCAAAAAGGGGACATGGTGACATCCGGGTGGGTGGGCAAAGCCTCCCACTGCTGCCACTACTGGTTCGCCCGAACCAGACAGAAACGCCTGAATTGCACTACTGCCTGACAGTCAATTTTGGAAATTTGAAGCCAATTGTACAACTGAGAACTTACATTTCTCCATTTCTTTGGAGACAAGCTGGAGAAGATGCTGCTCATGACCAGACCTTACTTTTCACCTTTGCTTCAGCCCGGACGAACAAACGACTGACGTACAAGCATTGATTGTGTTTATCCTCTAACAATATCAGCTGGGGTACCCCAGAGGCGTTCTCGCCAATAAAAATTACGTTGGATATTGATTTTGTCTTCTGCCACAAGGTATTCTCCTTTTTAAAAAAAAATTTAAAAGGATCTCTAGAAAACATTTAGAAAGATAAGGTGTCCTCCCGGGATCCGATGACCTGATGTGACGGTATGTGGGAATGACCACGTGACAGATGAAAAGCAGAGATGCTCCCTAGGAACAATCAGATAAGGGACTGCTTAGCCCACAGATGGATAATGGGCAAAGTAAGAGGCTCAGAAGGGACTCGCCCTAGTTTCTTGGGCTGTAAAGAAATGGCTGTAATGGTATGTGAGAAAGACCTTGGGAGACACGTAGAAGAAAAGCTCCCTAGGGAATGATAAGAGATAGCATGGCCCGCAGCTGCATAATGGGTGAAGAAAGACATTCAGAAGAGACCCTCCCTAGTCTCTTGGGCTGTAATGGTATGTAAGAAAGACCTCAGGGAATAAGTAGAAGAGACACTCTCAAGGGAGTAGTCAGATAAGAGACTGCTTAGGCTACCACTGCATAATGAGGGGGGGGAAGACCCTCTGAAAAGACCCTCCCTGATTTATCATCCAGTAAAGGAGATGGCTATAACAGTGATGGGTTCCTACCGGTTCAGACCAGTTCGGTTTAGCGGCCTGGGTCGCTGGAACCAGCAGCGACCCAGGCCTGCCATGCCCCCGAACCAGTTTCTCAGAACAATTTTAACAGCACTGCAGCGCGCACACAAGCGAACCGGCAGTAGTGCCTGCCGAAGCCCACCCCCGGGGCTATAATGGTATGTGGGAAGGACTTTGGGAGTCAGGGCAAAGAGATGCAGCCAAAGAAGTGGTCAGATAAGAGACTGCTTAGCCCACAGATGGATACTGGGCAAGGTAAGGCGCTCAGAAGGGACCCTCCCTAGTTTCTTGGGCTGTAAAGAGATGGCTGTAATGGCATGTGGGAGAGACCTTGTGAGATGGGGAAAAGAGATGCTGCCTAGGGATGAAAAGATAAGAGACAGCATAGCCCAGAGCAACATAACAGGTGGAGAAAGATGCTTAGAAGGAACTTTTCCTAATTTCTCAAGTTGGAAAGCATGTGGCTATAATGGCATATGGGAAAGACCTTGGAAGACAGCTGCCAAGGAGATGGTCAGATAAGAGACTGCCTTGCCCACAGCTGCAAAATGTGTGGCGAAAGAAGCTTTAGAAGGGACTGTTGCTAATTTCTCAAGCTGAAAAGCATGCAACTATAATGGTATCTGGGAAAGATCTCAGAAGACAGGACCAAGAGATGCTGCCAAGAGGATGTTTTCAGTTTCAGTTTCAGCACAGCCTGATTAACACAAGCAGCTGATTGTAGGGCCCGCTGATGATCAGCTGTTTCAGGCTGCAGGGATTGCCATAGCCTATTGCTGCCTCCATGCACCCCATTTTCAGCCTCCGCATCCTGTTTTCAACTTCCACATGCCCCGTTTTTGGCCTCTGTGTGCCCCATCCCCCCCACCCCCACTCTGGGCAGTGGGGATTGGAAGGGGCGGAAAATGGAGTGCATGGAGGCCGAAAATGGGGTGCACAGAGGCGGCAATAGGCAATGGCAATCTCTGCAGCCTGAAACAGCTGGTGGTCGGGAGGTCAATCCAACTGACAATCAGCTGCTTGTGCTAATCAGGCTGTGCGGCAGCTGAAACGAAAACAGGCTGTTTGCTGCAAGGAGGCAAATTGCTGGAAGGCAGAGGCCAAAGGGTGGGGAGGGGCTACATTTTGTGTATAAGATGCACCCAAACTTTCACCCTCTTTTGGGGGGGACAAAGTCCGTCTTATACTCCAAATATGGTAATACGGTAGCTCATTTAGCCGTGTTTCTTGTCTGATCTACCTGGTAAGGTTGACCCCCTCTCTTCCTTCTTACCTTGACCCAAAGAGGCGGCAATTCCGTTCATCAATTGGGCTAAAGTTTTGCTAGGAGAGCCAGGAAGAGCCGAGGAGACCAACAGGTTAGGACCTAGAAGATCAAACTTCCCAGTTTGCTGCCGAAACTTTTCCAGTTCCTTGGACAGGAGGTTGAATTGCTCACTCTGCGTCCGGCATTTCTCTTCGAGCTCACAGACTTTGGCCTGGGCAAACAGAGAGGAGAAAAGAACTGCAAGACTTGTCAAAGGGCAAAGGTACACCGGGATAGCAAAGGAGTGCCATGTTTCCCGCCTCTGCCCTGAAAAACGGGCAATTTCCCATCCAAATCCTTCCCAGGAACAATCCATATGGACAAACGGGAATAGGGCAAACATGGCAATTTTGGATTGTGACCCAGTTTGAAATGTTCGGTGGCCCTCTGTTACTATCGGTGGGAAAAGGCAGATTTGAGACCTAGCAGAGATGTGTCAGAAGCTTAGAATGTAGACTAAAAGAGTCGGAAGGGACCTTGAAGGTCTTCTGGTCCAACCCCTATTCAAGCAGGAGACCCTCTACCATTCCAAACAAATGGCTGTCCAGCCTTGAAATCTTCCACTGATGGAGGACCCATAGTCCACGTCCATTTATCCAGCTACCATTTTCAGAGTATAAGATGCATCAAGATTTTGAAGAGGCAAATTTTTTTAAAAAGATTTTGCACTCTGAAGATCTCCCAAAACGGTTATTTTTTTGCAAAAACGAGCTTGTTTTTTCCTCCCAAAAAGAGCATGAATAGCTTTTATGAGGCTTGTAGAGTGCTGGGGGGGGGGGNGGAGGAGGAGGAGGAGGAAGCCACTCATGGGTCTGGGTGCTCTCTGAGTTTGATGGCCTTCTTGCAGATGTTTCATTACCCAACTAGGTAACATCATCAGTGTTAGAAGGGAAGGGTTTGTTCTCTGTTTATATACAAGCAGGGAACAATACCCAATCGAGAAACTACTGACTTAAAGTTAACAAATGGTAAACCATAGCCTAATTAAGAACCACCAAGGTCACTCCCATCAACCCTGGCAGGGCAAGGTTCTTATATAAAAAACAGAGAGCAAAGCAACCCTCCCTCCCTTCTAACACTGATAATGTTACCTAGTTGGATAATGTAACATCTGCAAGAAAACAACCAAGCTCCAAGAGCTCCACAGATCACAGTCCTCCTCCCCTTCCTCTCCACAAACCCCACTCTCATGTAGCACTGATGATGTTCCCTAGTTGGGTCATGAAATGTCTGCAAGAAAACCACCAAACTCAGAGGCACCACGGACCACACAGTTCTCCTCCTCCTCTACTCCACAACCCGACTCCCTTCCAGCACTGATGATGTTCCCTAGTTGGGTCATGAAACATCTGCAAGAAAACAACCAAGCTCAGAAAGCACCAAGGGCCCCACAGTCCTCCTTCTCCCCGTCCTCTTCCTCCTCCACTCTGCAAACCCCACTCCCTTCTAGCACTGACGATGTTCCCCCAGTTGGGTCATGGGATATCTGCAAGAAGACAGCCAACTCAGAGAGCACCAAGGACTCCACAGTCCTCCTCCTCCTTCTCGTCCTTCTCCCCGTCCTCTTCCTCCTCCACTCTGCAAACCCCACTCCCTTCTAGCACTGACGATGTTCCCTAGTTGGGTCATGAAACGTCTGTAAGAAGACCACCCACCTCTGAGAGCACCAAGGTCCCCAGAGTTCAACCCTGAGCTACACATATTCTCTTCTATCCGTTTACTTTTCTCTTATTGTCATTCATTTTCAGCACAGCCACCTGCTTGCAGTTGAGGGAGGTATATTGTCTACGTACGTCTGATTCAAATCTGCATCTTGGGATGCCAGAACGCGAGCGGACCAGGAAAGCTGGTTTGATGGAGAGTTGCTCTGGTTTGTCACCAGACAGCTGCAGGGGACGCGTACACTCAGAGATCACAAACTGGCCTCGGGAGGGACTTTCATGATCTGCAAGGAAAAAGCAACCACACAACTGAACGTCACACTAGTTGCCCTACACAGCAATTGTAGCTGAATTAAAAATAATGAACCTCGGGCAGTTCTGGGATAACAGACACCGACTTTCTCATTGTTTTTGCAATGTTTGCCTTTATTTATTTATTATTATAGAAACCAACTGGATTAATACAGAATTGGGCAACATCCAAATGGAATAAAAACACACACACACATCTATCTGTCTGCCTGTCTCTCTGCCTGCCTGCCTGTCCATCTATCTGCCTCTCTCTCTCTCTCTCTCCCCCCCCCTCTCTCTCTCTCTCTCTCTCCC